ATTGCGAGTAAAAGGCGTCCTCACTGCCTCACTGCGTGTCATGCTTGAAACAGCAACATCAAACAAACTTGGAATCAGTTCCTCAGAAGGTTAACATCCCTCACCAGCGTGCTTCGGGACAAAGCATTGCGATAAAAGGCGCCCTCACTGCCTCACTGCGTGTCATGTTTGGAACAGCAACATCAAGCAAACTTGGACTCAGTTCCTCAGAAGGTTAACATCCCTCACCAGCGTGCTTCGGGACAAAGCATTGCGAGTACAAGGCGACCTCACTGCGAGGATCTTACTCACTTCCAACTTATCGCTTCAACTTTCAGTTATTGGTTGATGTCTTGAATCGAAGCAGTCCTCTGGTCGAGTGCTTTTCGCATGCCTGAAGCTGTCTTGAGAAATATGAAAACCTCTTTTCTCAGTCTTTTTATGTCTTTGATTTAGTATTTCATTGCTAGTAGACCATCGCTAGTAGGTTGGAGGCCATCGCTAGTAGGTTGGAGGCCATCGCTAGTAGGTTGGAGGCCATTGCTTTGAGGTTGGAGGCCATCGCTAGTAGGTTGGTGGCCATTGCTTTTAGGTTGGAGGCCATCGCTAGTAGGTTGGAGGCCATCGCTAGCAGGTTGGAGGCCATCGCTACTAGGTTGGAGGCCATCGCTATTAGGTTGGAGGCCATCGCTTTTGGGTTGGAGGTCATCGCTTTTAGGTTATTTCTATTCTCAGTTTATGTCTTTGATTTATTGTTTCGAAATACTCACCATAATGGTGACATGAAAGCGTCCAACCCTGTCCCCACCTTGAAAACGAAAGGAGGCAACTCACGGAGTCAAACCATTCACCTGAGGTGCTTGAACTGGTGTTTTGTGACCTCATCCGTCCTTCGGTGTTTCTGTCAGCGTTGGATGTGCTCTCATTCCTCCAAGACCGAAGGCTAAGCTCCAGAACACTCCCCCCATGTTGCGTTTGAGTGAAGGCGAATATTTGTTGTAACCTTTTCTAGTAACAAGAAGCTACTAGGGGCTCCTGGCCTTACTACTAGTAACAAGAAGCTTATATTGAGAATCTGACCTATCTCCTTTTGACCTTCTTTGGAGATTCAAACCAGTGTAGGATCCAAAGTCCGACTCCCGAGTTTATCGGGACTCACTGGGCAACCGAACCCCGCATTTGATGCAAAAGGCCAGTTCCCTCCTGAGAAAGTCTGACGGGCAAGGACGACCTGTTGACTTCCCAATTCACTCACTCTGTTGACATTCCTTTGTGTATGGAACGCACATCATTAGGACTATGACAAAGGACGCCTGACTTGGGCCGAGCCGCCCAAAAGCGATTTAAAGATTGGCTGGTTCGGAAGCCGATCAGCAGTCCCAGAGAGCCAGTGAGGGCCGTCCAAACCTGAAAGCGCAAAGATGGGCCCAAGACTTGTCACAAGACTTGTCGACTGAGAAAGAGTAAGAAAATGGAAAGAAGGACAAAAGAAAGAAAAGCCCTAAAGGAATCAATGGCGTTTCAAACCGAAAGCGTTTGTATTGAATATAAGGAAAGTGAAGGCGACATTAGACCTTGAATCAACAAGAGTTCATCCCTCAGCGCACAGCCAAGTTGCTTGACCTTTGCTCAAATCAGCCTCAATTTCAGTAACATTCCGATGAACATGGGGCATATGCCCACTCTAAGCTTTTGTGCTTTGGATTTTCCTTCTACTTAGCACAACGAACGCCCCAGGGCTTGCACTGCGATGTTGATTTCCTTGAATTCCTGCAACAGCAAATGAGCATCAAAACACTGAAGAAAGAACAATAGTTTAAAATAGTATTCTTTTCTTCTGCTCATCTTCACTTGCCAACTTAATGGAGCAAGAGCACTACTAGGGGCTCCTGGCCTTACTACTAGGAGCAAGGGCCTTACTACTAGTAACAAGAAGCTAGTAGAAACAACATATAAATAGAATTCAATTAGAATCTAATAAAAGGAATGCACCTCCGCATTGTCGGAGAGGAACAGGAGGAGAGCCGCAAGTACCACTGAAGGAAGGGCAAACAGAAATGCCTCGAGCCAGCACTTGGCCAAACATGTTGGGTGTGAGCCTACTTTGAAGTTATCAGTGGATTCGTCAACATTTTCAGGAATAAATGTAGCAAAATATCCAAAAGTCAACACGATGCATTTGGACATTCGAACTCATCTAGCCGAAATAGAATCCGCTCTAAGCTGGTGCATACCCACCCCAACCCGCCTTGGGGAAGACTGACCCCTTGAACTGGAATAAAAGGCGCAATCCCTCCTGGAAAAAGACAAGCAAGGAAAGCAAGCGATTTGAGACACAAAGTACAAAAACCGCTTGGGAACAGCTCCCACTTCACTTCAAGAGCGCTTGGACAAGCAAGCTAAAGCAACCTAGAAGTGATGGCATCCACCCTAACCTCCAACCTACTAGCGATGGTCTTCAACCCAGAAGCTCAAGCAAGCTAAAGCAACCTAGAAGCGATGGCCTTCACCCTAATAATAGCAGTGTCCTCCAACCTACTAGCGATGGTCTCCAACTCAGAAGCTAAAGCTGAGTCACCACAAAATCTAGAAACCAAATCATCAGCGCGAGCTATCCTGCATCCTAGGTAGTACTGCCTCTTCTACTAGCTACCTACCTAGCTAGCTACTACCTAGCCTCCTAGCGGCCTACTCCCCGGGCTTTAAACAAACGAAGCTAAAGCAAGCGATTGATTCAATCCCTTTTTCAATCAGAGCTCCGAGTAGCGGATCATGGCGGGTGGTGTCAGGCGACAGCCCTTGTTCGAACGAACAAATGACCCACCTTGAACAATATCCGTATATGTATATGTAGTCACATATACTTATATATATTATATTAAGGACTCTTTCCTTTATTTAGACCTTTTCTTATCTTCTTAAACTCCGTATTAGAGTCACATGTGATTGATTTTCCTCCACTGATCCACATGCTTCTGGGGGTTCTGAGCCAGAACGGCTACTGGGAGGTGAACCTTAAATACGAAGGAGCAAATGCTTTGCTTCTGTAGTCATGCAGTTCTGAGGCAGTGGTCTTTTTCTCGCTTAGGGTAGCGAAGTCCAAAAGAATGTTCTTGCGAAGACTTTTACTTCTTACAAACTAATGCATTTCTTTTAACAAGGACAAATGCTTTCTTTTCCTTTTTCTTCAGCCTTTATGCACTTTTTGATCTCTTTGGATGTTTCTGTTTTCCTATCTTTCTTTCTTGCAAGTACTTATTGGTACAATAAATAAATGCTTGTCCAGCACATATGAGTCATACTGGAACCCTGCTTCGTGCCTTGCGCAGCAGCTCTCCCGCCAAGAGTGCCGCTTCTGTGGCAGCTGCGATGGCCTCTGTGGCAGCTCCAGTGAAAAATAGAAGCGACCAACCTAGTAGCGTCCTTGCTCCTAGTAGCGATGCCCTTTGCTTCTAGTAGCTTCTTGCTCCTAGTAGTAAGGCCAGGAGCCCCTAGTAGCTTCCTTGCTCCTAGCAGCGATGGCCTCCAACCTAGAAGTGAAGGTAAACCCTCCGTTTGGCCCACAGTCGCTGCTTCGCTGAGCTTCGCTTTAAGTTTTGCGCTGCCTAATGTTCTCGAACTAATCGAACATGGTTTGGACGCCGCTGTTGTCTAAACCGCTTTGCAATGTTTTCTTGTCAACTAGTAGAATACCTCCACTGGTGATTGGCCCTTCATATGCGCAGTTATCACATGCATCTCTTCGGCTTGCTTTTTCTGACTTTGGAAGGTCACCTCGGACCTTTTCGTAACACGGTTCGCGCGCTTCGTGTGGCTTTTTGGCGTTGAAAAGGACATGAGCTCATGCTTGATAACCAAACTTCTTTCAGGTTATGCGGTCAGGCCTTATCGGTGTTGGTGGTTTCTGTTGTCTAGACCGAGTCGTTCAAATCAGACCGTTGGTAAAAGGCACAGTTAAGCTCATCTGACCTCAAAGCAACACACACACAAAAGCAAAAGACATGCAAAAGCGAAATCTCTGAAACAAAAGACAACCATGCGGGAAGAATAATGAAAATGAGGCAAATCAAGAGAAGACCCTTGTTGCAGGAAGGTGCGTGCTGACACTTATCGTCCAAAGCAGCAACGACAAGAAAAAACTATGGCTTCACCGACAGCATCATGGAGACGACAAAGCGAAGAACACAAAACAAAGCTCTTTCGCTTTCTTTCGTTGTTTGTCTCTTTCCTTTGTTGCCTCATCTCAACCAGCCTCCACAGTGGACGCTTTAGACTCTTTGGGCACCGTGGGCACCGTTGGCAAAGGTGGCATTTGGACAGTCGCTGGAACGGTCGGAACCGGCAGCTCTGGCGGCTCAGGCGACGGAGCTGCCAGGCCCATACCAAGGAGTTGCTTCAGAACCTGCCAAGCTAAGACGCTACTAGGAGCAAGAAGCTACTAGGAGCTCCTGGCATCGCTACTAGTAACCAGAAGCTACTAGTAGCAAAGGGCATTACTAGTAGTAGCTAGAAGCTACTAGTAACAAGGAGTTGCTTCAGAACCTGCCAAGCTAAGGACCTTTCCGTTGGAGGCCATCGCTAGTAGCATGGTACGAACCTTTTCAAGGGGGTAGGCTGTGAGCTAGCTAAGAAGCTGAGTAAGGGGTAAGAAATGGTAAGAAACTAGAAGCCTATAGCAGCTAGTACTTATTCAGTAGGTTGTTACTACTATGTACCAGACACGTCTTCATGCTTTGTTTCGCATTGTTTTTGCTCTGCCTTTTGTTCAATAGTGCGCCTTGCTCTTCTTCTCAGCTGACTGCTTGGCCTCAAGGAAGCTGGACAAATCAGCTACGAGCACCAAAAGACGAGCAATTCCATGCAAGGTCCCTCTGGGCTCATCAAAGTCGTTTTGCTTCCGTTTCCGATTGCAACCTTCTCCAAACACCTTCAGCGTGGATCCTCCAGTTGGATGTCGACAGACTCCTTTTACCTTGAATCGCTTCTGCCCGCCTCGAGGGCCTCCTCCGCTTGCGGTGTAGCCGGCTTCACCTTCACCTCTCGCTTCGCCAACTCGAAGAAGCACAAACTCGCGGAAAAGTTATGGTTTGTCTATTGAAGAGGTTCTTGTTTGCCTCTTTTGGCCGAAGGGACGTAAGGAGCTGTAAGGAATGAAGGGACTGGATTTGGTTCCAGCCTTGGCGGCCGTAGCCTTGCCCCTCTTGCCCTTCTGAGATTCCTTGGCAACCTCAGGGCCGTATTGAGAGAACTCCAACCTAATAGCAATGGCCTCCAACAAGCGATAGCCTCCTCAGGGCTGTGTTGAGTTCTAGACTTAAACTTAAGTCTGCCAGAGTTCAAATGCTCTCAGCATCGGACGGGCTCTGCCCTGCAGAAAAATCTGAAACTTGAAGCTCGAAGATCACTCTGTAACTCGTGCAGAGCCTTTTCCCCTCACTCTGAATTTTTGTTGTTAAAACCTGTTCTTTGGACCTTTTCCTTCTTTTTAGGTTGGAGGCTATCGCTATTAGAAATAAAGAAAAAACGGTTTACATCTGTTCTTTGGACTTTTTCCTTCCTCTATTCTTTTCGACTTGGAGACCTTTCTTTTCTCTCTTGCTTCGCTGCGGCCCTGGAATCTTAAAGATCAGCTTGGCCTTATTGCGCTTCTCTAATTGCCCTCTGCTGCAATAGGGAAAACTTGGAGCGAGAGCGAAAACGCAGGCGATACAGAAGCTTTGACTGTATGCCAGTGATACGAACTGCCAAAGGCTCGAGGGGCAACACTGTGAGCATTGTAACGGCTTGACCAACTCCACAAACCAACAACATGAGTCTTCATTGGTTCGACATTCGACAAAATTCGGAACCAAATTTTCCAACAAATTCCAACAAGTTCTTGTTTCTCATGGATCTCAGCCCAATGGCTGCAAGGTAGTGGAAAGTTGGTCTGACAGCAAGCACATGTTAAAACTTGGCAGCTGTGCAAACCGCAAAAACCCCTTAAGGTAAAAGATGTAAAAGATAAGCAGGGACCCAAGGCTGGCACCTGGCACTTGCAGCCTAAATTGAACAAAACACATGTAGTCTTGAGTCTTTCCACAATTCCACCTTGACCAATTTTTCAGCTTTTCTGCCAGGTTGCTCTTGAGAGCCTGCAATGAATTAACGCTGGTACGGTTCATCCTGGTACACAACGCTCAAACGCTCTTTTGGCCGAATCTGATGCGTTCAACATGTCTCAACCTTCATAACCACAAGTCTAGATCGATGCTTCATATTCCCTCATGTTCATGTTTAGCTACTAGGAGCAAGAAACTAATAGAAACAAGAAGCTAGTAGTAACAAGTGACTTACTAGTAGTAACAAGAAGCTAGTAGTAAAGGAGACTATCGAAAAAAAAAAGAAGAACTGCGCAAGCTGTTCTTCTCCGTCTCACCCATCGTCACCCATCGAACGCTCTACTCGGTCCTCCATGACCTGATCGATGTTCTTTTCCTGCACAGCAATGGCCTACTAGCGGCCTTGCTCCTAGTAGCGATGCCAGGAGCCCCTAGTAGCTTCTTGTTC